GGTCATTAATCACTCTTTTTGGGCAGAATGTGACATTTGTCAGGGCAGGCTCAATCCTGGAGTCCTTTAAAAAGAATGAAAGCGTCTTTTAATATTCTCAACTTCATGATATGAGGATGTTGTGATATTTCACCTATAAAATATCTACATTTGAAAATACCACAGCTAATCCCCAAGCCCTAAATCAACTTACCTCATCAAAGTTGAAATACTTTGTTGAAATACTTTTGGATAACTCTTCAAAGACTTTGCTTATATCCATTTTTTCTTCAACCAAGTTCTGATCCATCAGAGTGACCGATGCGGAATCAATCTAGAGTTTTAGAATTATTCATATAAGCCAAATGAAATTTCAGTGTCTATTTTATAAATGAGGTCTGGATAAAATATATCAATATATAAAAATATATATAAAAAAGAAAAGTAACTATATATCTAAGTGTTGTACAAATAAATTGAGATAAAATATAACTATTAAATGAAAAATTTAAAAATGGAAGGATTAGAAATGTTGCCTTGGCAATTCACGGAAATAAAAGTAAAAAGCTGAATTACTAAAATTAAAATTAAAACTAAAACCAAATAAAATGAAAAAGAAAAATAGGCAAATAGAAATATATATATATAAAAAACGAATTAAAAAAACGACAAAACAAAACAACAAAACTACTAAAACTTTAAAATAAAAAAACTGAAAATATAAAAATAAAAGCTCATTCAAAGTATTAATAAATACTAAAACAGTATATAAATAACACTAAAATAACACTGTTGATATCAGAGTATCACCTCTTTAGTGAGGTCATTGTAGACTGGTGGGTACATGCTGAGTTTGATGGTCTCTGGGAGAACCCTATCGGACACTTGGGCCGCTGCTGTGCGCATGATGTTTTGAGGAGAAAACGTCACACTGACCACATCTCCTTGTGGGTGCAGAGGTTTCTTCACAAGAACTTTGTGCTTCTTCGTTTCCTCCTCTTCCTCCATTTTCTAGAAAGAAATGCCCTTCTTTAAAGTCTGATTTGCAGGTGGCAATGGCATAGGTCTTGCACATAATTCTGTCTGCAGTGAGTTTATTTCTGTAAGTACCTGTAGTTTTTGTTTGAGCCTTTGGAGTCTGTTGGAACTATAGCAGGTTAGGGATTCTATAAGCGAGCACAGATCCGTCCCACAGTTACCATCATCCTTGAAATCTCTCTCCTGTAATAATCTAAAAACACACACACAATTGAGTTTCAGTTCCCATTACTCTTACACACAGACACAGGGATTATTATGTTGTAAGGGTACTTTGTAACAACCCAACCTCTTCAGATCTTCCGCAGTACTGATGCGTTTCTCCAGGCTGGAGGTAGGCTCTGTGGACAATAGGACTATTGGGGATGGAGGTGAATCGAGTAGCCTTATCTCCAGCTCCTCCAGCAGTGTTTCCCTCTGTAGGTCAGGCATGGAATGACATCCCTAAGAGGGTGGACGGAGAAATCCTTAAGGTTGATATGCAACTGTTTGAAAACTGCCACTATGGAATTTGTGCAATGGAATTGATTAAAAAGTCACCTTTATTCTGACCAACCGGTTTTGAGGCAGACTGTGATCCTGCTCTTGTTTCAGTATGTTCGACTTATTGGCTGTAGAACCTGGGCACATGCACAAATGACAGTATCCTGATGCCACATCCAGAATTATATCACTTTTAAAGGAAACTATGACTTGCCCCAAGAATGAATATTCTGTCATCATTTTTTATATTCTGATCCTCATGTCTTTACTGACCCTGTGCGACTTTCTTTCTTCTGTAGAAATAAGATATCTTAAAGAATCTTGCTACTGTTTACAGCAGCGCTGTGTAGTAAATGATTAGAAGTAATTTGGAGTACATAATCAGATTCTGAAAATTAAATATTTGTAATTAGATTCTATTAGATTTTAAAACACTCATATCAGACTACAGTTATTTATTGATTTTTTTTATTACAAGATTGCCTAATACACAACATTCCACACAGCATAAATGACATATTTAACATTTTTTGTGTTTTATTTTGATTGACTTTATTTTAAAATGCAATTCCTGCAATATTTAGGAACAGGAATGTGGTAAATAACAAAGAATGGAATACATTTTTGCTATTCTTTGCCATTTTTGATATTATTTGCTCTTTTTTAAAAAATAATTTTTCTCTATTTGTGTGTACATTTATACCAATATTGTACAAGAATTTTGATGAGTTAAGTCAAAAGTAATCTTAAAGAAATCAAAAAGTAGTCTGATTATATTACCTAAAATGTGCAATGTAATAGATTATGTTACTAACTACAATTTTTGTCAAGGACTACAATTTCTAAGTAATCTACCCAGCACTGGTTTTCTGTATAACGAACGTCAATGGATTCCAAAACAACATCGTACCCCATTGACTGATTGTAAGGTCAGAAGTGACAGAATTTTCATTTTTGGGTAAACTATCCCTTGTTGTATCTGTGTAACTTGCCATACATTGTGTGTCTGTCTTATAGGTGATTGGTTCCATGTTACAGGGCAGGAGGTCATACACACATTGCAGATCTAGCTCCCCGATTTTCTCCTGAATCTGTAGACACAGAAGTGAATTAATATGACCTTAACGTCTCTCTTTACAACTTGCACACACACAAGCGCACCTCTTTGAGGTCATCCTCCACTGCTTTTTCCCATGATGGGGCCGTCATGGACCTCTCATTGTTATGTGTAACAGCACTTTGTTTGCGCCTCCGTGCATCCTTGATTCCTGTGACAATCCTGCATCTCATGGAGCGAACATTCAAGCTGTAAACAGAAACAGTCACAATCTGCTATGAATAAGTAATGTCATGCTATATGTCACCACACTGTGTGATCAAACCCGTTTACGTCAGTGCAGTCTCGGTAAAAAGAGTCACACTCACAGACTGGTGCAGTCAATAGCGAGCTGAGCTGCCACCCTGCTGCGGTTGATATGATCTCTGAAGACGCCTCGCCTCCGTAGAGTCTCCATCAGGTGCAAGGATTGCAGAAACAGCTGCTCACAGATGTGCAGCACCTCACTGAAGGTCTGGCGGTTCAGCTGCACTTTCTCTTCCTGGGTCAGCGTGGTGTCCACAGACGGGGTTTTCAGGTCTTGCCAGATCAGACTCAGCTCAGAGGTCAACACTGCAGTCTGAATGACAAAAGCAAACAGAAAAGGGATTTAAACTCATTCAAATATCAATTCATAATTCTGAGAGCATTTTAAGTTTGCTGTTGACTGCATAAACATTTACTGTACAACTATACATGTTTGATTTGGCTTTATTTTATATATATATATATATATATTTTATTTTATTTTTATTTTTATTTTTTTTCAAAATAAATTGAAATGTTAAAATAAATGCCACTCTTTCAAAATTTCTATTCATCAAAGAATCCTGAAAAAAATGTATCACAATTTTGATAAAAAATAAATAAATAAGCAGCACAACTGTTTTCAACATTGATATTGCACAATTCAAAATGCTTCAGATGTTTGAAATATGTATTTACAGCATCTATTTGAGACTGACCAGAGACTGTCTGTCTTCATGGCTGATGGAGTAATGCTGTGATTTCTGGGTGATTCTCTCCTCCAGTTGTTTGCACAACTGTGTCAAAGAGGTTGGAGTGCTTTTATTCTTCTTATAAGCTGAAAACGCTGATTTCACCTCCTTAGACCTGTCTGAAGATGAATTTATAATAATGTGAGATTAATGTCAAAACTTCAAGAGTGAATTAACTAGCTTGTGAAGAAAGTACTAACCTGTCATCCTGTCAAAATTGACATCCATGTGGCAGAGTTGTGAAAGAGGTCTCAGAAAGCTATGAACCTCTTGACTGTGGACCATCATTTGGAGGTCCTCACATTTGATGTGCTCACAATCCTGTGTGCTTGATATTTCCCAATTCATTCCCAAAAAATTGATGTTGAAGACGTTGCATTACAGAAATGTTCTAAGCTATGTAATTAAATCAGCTGTGAAGTTTGACATTATGTTTTTAAGCTTTAAAAGCCTACTCATGCCAAATAAAGATGAAAAATAACTTCTGGGCTCCACAAAAACAAAAAAAAACAACAACAAAAAAAACTTTTCAGCATTCATTCAGTAACATTTAAGGTGCAAAAATTAAACGAAATCCTTATCAGTTGCAGTCTTCAAGTTTAAACCTGGTGCAAATCAACATCGCAACACTTTAGTGAATGTGACCTGATTTAAGTCACAACAATACTGAGTAAACTTTAAAATTACAATGCACAGGATTTAAAACACTGCTTTTACCTAGGCTATTGTGTACAGTCGTTTGAAGATTAAAAGCAAGATCGTTACGAAATAATAATGTATCCAATGTAATAAAGCGACTGAATAGTTCCGCATGCACGTCGTAATCCTAAAACAATTCAAGTTGCCCTGGAAACCCCCGGCAGGTCACGCACGACGTCATTGCGCAACTTTGGAATTGACGCCGCATTATTAATATCTTTTCCACTTTTTTGTTCATTTTAAACACTCTATAAATAAACTGTAAACGAAAAATTGTTAGTTTTTTTTAACTAACATGAAGTCATAAAACTGCATGCACAATAATAATTATTTACAAAAAAAATAATAACAAAACTGTTCAGTCTTGATAACAAAACAAAAAACAAAGTAGGCTCATACGGAAATCTACTCTTCTATGCTAGTCTAATAACAATCTTATTAATGAGCAGTTACTTTCTGTATTTATGCCAAATAGTAGGCTATATTTGATGAATATTTACGCTTCAGACATTAATTTTCTTCACAAATGATACAACAAACTTCACAATCAAAACAGTACAATCTGACCAATAAAAACAGGTTTTACCTGCTTTATTTTGTCTAATAAAATGCACTGACATTTTCTTATTGCATTAAGCTACACACTAAAACACAGACAAGGTGTAGATACACACACAGTGCATGTATGAAAAATGAAACTCACACCACTTCCGTTTACATTAGCCCCTGTCATCCGGAAGGGTGGTACCTGTTCAACTTCTGCAAATACGTCTTCTGTCGTCTCATGCCTGTAAAAAAAACAACATGGATATGAGAGAGTGCTGCTGGAGAGCTGCGATCAGTCATTCCTCGTCCATTTGATCTGCTGGAGCTGAAAGGACACACACAGACGCGGATCTAAACTCACCTGATCTATCTAAATGTGTGCGTCAGGTAAACGCTGAGCCGAGCCCAAGTCACCGTTTGGACACTTTTCAGTGCAGGTAAGTGATTTTAAGTTCGTTAAACCGTTTGCAAAAGTTACAGAGCATGAAATCTTGAGGGTTTTGTCGTATTATTTAGCTCTGGGCGCCTATTTACGGACAGGTGGGAATTACAGGTTTTTGGCTAAATTGTGACTTCTTCTTGAGTAATAGGCAGTGTTTATGTGTATCCTTTGTGTGTGTTTGCATGTAACTAATTTTAAAATAACAAAATGTTTGTCAATATCTAACAATACAGCCCTCTTTTGCTTATATTTTGAATCCAATGTTTAAAAAGTTCATTTTACATTTGACCTAATTACTAAATTCTAAAAACAACTAAATACAGAAGTAAATTAAATTAAATCAAATTAAAATATATATTTGTTTTGTATTTTCGGATCTGACAGTGGAGAGAAATTAAATAATACTAAGTGAAGTTTATTATTTTTTATTTAAATATCTAAAGAGAAATTGGGTGATTAAACATTGTGTGAAATGTCAAAATAAAAAAAATAAATAAAAAAACAAACTGCCAACATTATATAATAGAGTTATCTCTATTTGCTTTTGACTTTTTACCTTAATTTAACTTAAATGTTGAGTAAATACTAATAATGCATCAATAAATAAATAAAATAGATGCACTGTTTCCCAGAAGTTTCTCAAAACATAATTTATATGACTCGACATAAAGTTTCTTATGGGTGAACAAAAATAAAAGCAGCTTCTCTGGGGACCTTCACACATGCAATGCGAACCCTTCATTATTAACAACACCGTATGCATATGCTTAGAAAGTGAAGAACTACGTTTGCTAGTTACCTAAAGTGCAACAACAGAGGGTTTAAGGAACTAAATCAGGGAACACAGAACATAATCTTTATTTAGGTACCCCACCTACTTCTCCATCCAAAACCAAAATAACTCTTCCTCTTGTCAATTCATAATGAATTTAGTAGTATTTAGAACTTCCTTTATGGGAGTGCAATATCAAGACGCCATTTAAAACTCATTGAAAATATTCACATAAAGTCTCGCGACTCATGTCAGAATCAGAAGGATTGGCCTGGAAAGTTTCACAGCCTCTTTTTCATTTCTGCAGAAGTCACAGCCGTCATGAAAACAACTTAAAAAGTCTTTTTAGTGCAGACGGCGCTAAAGGTGGCGTTTGCGCTTGGCTGTCATTGTGCTCAGTCATGTTGTCGTTTATTTACAGAGGTAACATGACCTCCCTGCTACTGAGCTTTTTAAACTGAATACCCACATGCTTTCTATTTTCCCACGAGCACCTGCTTTGATATACGCGATTTGAGGACTTGGCAGAGGCCTGAAGGTTCACAGCTCGTCACATTTGTCATTGTGCTGCTTTTGTGTTTTCAAGATTTATTCAACCTTTTGCCCTAGAATTGTGTGGAGTGATACTTTTATAGATTTTTTTCAGCTTATCCATCTCCACACCTCTCTTTGGGGTAGACTTTGCAGATTCAGCTTATGATTAAGTTCCTCTCTGATAGTTGCCAATCTCCAGACTAAATCATCTGTCAACAATGTAACTATCCCTCTTTTTTTTGCCCCATTACGCTAATAGCTGACCAAAAGAACAGTGTTCACCGTTACCACTTCCTCCGAACCCCTCGTTTTCCAGCACCATGAGTGGTCAACCACGGAGGATCCGTCTGAAGCCATGGTTGCTGGCACAGGTGAATTGTGATTTACTATGCACACTGTCATTTTAAAGAGCATTTCTGAAGATAAGCCAAAAAACAAAATGATGTTCCAATGAACGATGACCATGTGCCGTCAAGCTCTATAAATGACCAAAAAGCACCATAAAAGTAGTTTTATGACGTTGATTATGCCACAATGCATCGATCCTCAAATCAGGTGATAAATCATGACACGGCATTTTTAAAATGATAATGATACTGAGTGCTACAGCAGATGGAAAGTTTTTCAGCGAATAATGACTTGAATTTCAGTCTTTTCCTCAGATGTCCATCAGAAAACTTGAAATATAGCACAAAGGTTGGAATGATAATTAAGTTATTTTAAAGTTGTACATTTAGCAATGTTTGCTGAATTTTTGTGGGCGAAATCCAGTGATTTTAATAGGGAATTGGAAGTTTTGCATGATGTCTAAAGATTTTCAGATTTCGCTTGGGCCATTAAATTTGCTGTGTTGACTAACAGAAAGCTGCTTGGTTTGAAAGTGACTTCTGTATGAGTTGTGATTCATACGTGGCGTACACTTTTGACAATAGAAAATTGGCTTTTTCTTGTGCTATTTTCTGTCATTATTGGAACTTGAATAGCCATTGGTCACTGTATGTTTTCAATGCAACAGAAGAATAGTTTTACTTTAACTTTTTAATTTTTCTGACTTCAGTAATATAACCTTGTCAAATTAATTTCGAAACCTACCAAGAAACACTTCATCAATGCTTCGATCTTCAAAGAGAAAAATATCAGTGTCCAGCTGCCATCTTGCTTTCATCCATACAGTACTTCCAGATATCAGCATCTAAAATGGAAGCAAAACTAGTGGAGGAATATTATTTGAAATCTTGGCATCCTGAGCTTGTTCTACATTAGTACAGTAAATATTTCTCACCCTGCCAGATTAACAGTGGGAAATACCCAGGACTGGACTGGCTCAATCAAGAGCGCAGACTGTTCCGGATCCCATGGAGACATGCCACCCGCCATATGCCTACCCTGGAGGAGGAGAACACTATATTTAAGGTGAATAATATGGTTTTGCCATCACCCATGCTGCTTTTGTAACCTTTTTTTGTATAAATTGAAGAAGTATTTCCCCATATAAGATCTTAGATTTAACACCAACCCAAGCCTCCTATATCTATTTTTTACTCCTGTACTCTTTCTGTTCTAAAGTTAGCACTGGGGGATTTTGGGGTTTTTGGGGTTTTTTTTG